ATGTTAAGCTTTCTCTTTGTTAGATTACGTGGACCGTGAAATAATATACAGACTAGAACTTAGTAATGTTTTACCAAATAATTTATTATCCAAGCTCAGATAATGTTATAGAAAGGAAAGATTTGTATTTTTATATGAATAAACTCAAAAACTACACTACTAATTTCTATGCTTTACCTTTTATATAGAATAATATGAGCTTTATTTATTTCGGGATATTTTAATTAAGAAAAAAGTCGCGGGAAAAAGTATCATGAATTTTATTTTATTTATTTTATTAGGTTGACCAAACAGCTTAGACCTAATACATAAATACAAATAAGAATAATTAATAAACCTAGGTTTTTAAATAAAGGTGTACACAACATGACTATAGACAAATATGAAGAAAGTGAAAAAGTGCTGGTGGATGATATACTTAAAGTTGTTTTTTTTAAACACACATTTTTGGGATTTAATCAAAGAATAGGAATGTCAAAGAATAATGAAGGGAAGAGAAGAACAAACATACTTATTGAAATATTTTTGTGACGTTATTTTTGAAGACTACAAATTTAGGATTAATGATGTCTAGATCCTTTTCCCTATAGTTATTCAATTATTCTTTCTCAATTTAACCTTGTCTACTTCTTTGCTGTGTTCATAAATTGCGCATAATGTTAGCGTTTATGTAATATAAAACTAAAATTGCACTTAAATTTTTCTCTGCATAATTTCTCTCTTTATAACAGAAATGCAAACTTAACTACTTTTTTATCTAGAATGGAAACAAGTTTTTTATTAAGTGAATATAACTCGAGGCAGTTTCATTTTGTTTTAAGAATTGCGCTTGTTTTATAGTGAATGTTAATATTTAGATTCCAACTGCCATTTCATTATAAAAGTACACATTGTTTGAATCATAAATGGGTAAATATTCCGAAACCAATTTTAATCATTTTCGCAAATAGATTATCCGTTAATATTCAAAGTAATGTAAAATTTATCAGCAAGTTTGATTAAACATATATTTTCACTGTTTTATGAGTGTGCAACGGTGCTGAGTTCAATACGAAGGCTAGACTGTCCTTTTTTTGAAAATGTTTACTTTCTTAAAAGCTATGAACTTCTCGAGTTTTAGAGCGGGGCACACCTTTGACTAAACTATCGCATAACTGGTTTGCAATCGTCGATTGTCGATTGTTTCGCAGCCCATTTAGTTGCGTAAGTAAAAATCGAGTAGTGTGTACCTCCATATAACCTCGTTGGAATCCAAGTGCGATTAAGCAGTTGTGCGATAGCTTAGTCAAAGATATGCGCTCGCTCTATATTTTAAACTAGTGTGTAACTATATAATTTTTATCCATAACAAGTCATCTATACTATTATAATAAAGCGAAAACACACACTTCTTTGTTGCCTAAGATGTCAGCAATTACAGCATATTTTTGAATAATTCCTTTGTTAATAAAAAGCCCTACACTTACGTCACGATTTAGGATATATATTTTCACGCCATTAAACTTAGGGTGTAAATATTTTGGACAAAAACCCTAATGTGGGAAATGGACCATAAACTACAAGCTACCAACATCAAGTAAGCAAGATTGTCATGCATTTGAATTTTGACATTTGACAAATATAAACAATAAAATAAAATGATTATAATTTCATGCGGATGACGCCGCACGGGAACAGCTAGTGAGAAATAAAACAAAATACACATTATAATTCTAACTATTGAAACTTTTCTGTTTCTGAACAAAAGTATAACATTGCGTCATGTGTATTATAGAAGTGCAAAATTATTTGTTCCAGCATCTCAATAGCAGCTACTCGTAAAGTTTACAGAGCGAAATGTTAACCACGTTAATTAACTCTTGCGAGATTGAAAAACAATACAAAACATAACAGTGTTTTTCTTTGTTTATAAAACCAAATGCGTAATTTACTTTTAAAAAATCGTAATTCCTTATCGCTTAAAATGGAATTAATTTTAATAATGATACAATAATCATTAGTTAATACTTATTCATTTTATAGACTAACACTACAAGCAGAAATACAATGGAATGTTATACCACCTTCAAAACGGACCCATTCATTTTGTTCACAGGCACAAACATATATCTCATCAAGTAGTGAAAAACGCCAACACAAATCAACAATAAAAGCCCCCTTAGACTAGATACTTACAAGATTTTCACTTGGCAGTCCGACCCGACTAAACTATCGGCCGAAAAAAATCTATAGTCTGCGTGGTTATAGTCCGTGTATTTCGTAGCAATATGCTACGCCGGCGTAGCACTATTTCAGTCCAATATTACAGAGAGATTTTAGTTCAATCTTTTAATAAAACCTCTTTGATCCTCTGCAGCTCTCACAAGTCTTTGTTACAATGTAAACAAGGTAGAAAGGACAAAGGTAATCCGCTAGTTGTTAGAATATTTGCATATTGATTGCTTGTGGCATCACTTTAGTCTTTGATGTAATGCAATTATTTGTAACGTCTTTCTTCATCAATAAATAAGATCTTTGACTAACGGTTTAATACTAGGTGGTGTTATAATCATACTACATAAAAATTACCGTTAACTCATTTAATCCTGTTGTTATTTTTCTACTTGGATCTATTGTCTTGTTTTTATTAGAACGCCTACCATAATTTAATAGCACAAACTATTTTTTCTGGGTTAATAAAAAAACAATTACGAATAAACAATATATTTAAAAACACAATTCACAATATTAATTTGGATATTTTAAAAAAACATCACAAACAATTACACGTATAATTAAAAAAAAAACTACATTGGGAAACATCGAGATTATATCTATTATTACTTTTACTTATTGCTTAACATTGACTTAGATTAGTCTAATTCTTTTTAACCAATCATTATAAAATTATTGATACATCAACTTAATTTAAATGAATAATTAAATTGAAAAGTGTTACAATTCATCATCAATTTGCCCTTATCCCTTACGGAGGGTCGGCACAGTATGTGCTGTTCTTCCATACATCTCTATCAGCCGTCATATCTGAATTCACTCCTTTCTTAAGCATAACCTCTTTCACACAATCCATACTTTCTTCGGTCTTCCTCTTCCTTTGTAACCATCTACGTTAATTCTTAACACTTTCTGGTTTATGTCCATCTCGTCGCATAACATGTCCATACCATGCCAACCTTTTGCTTCTCAATTTTTCCACCACTGGCGCTACTTTCAAACTTCCTCTAATATACACATTCTTAACTTTATCCGTTCTTGTCACACCATACATCCATCTTAACAGGCGCATCTCAGCCACATGCAATCTCCTTTCATCCGCAACTGTTACAATAAAATTGAAGAATAATCGGATATACTATGTGATGAATATTTATAATAATAAGAATTGAATACACATAATAATTTTAACACAGAAGTAAAAAGTTATAAAATAAAAACACAGTTCGATTTGCAGATTTAGTTATGATTATGCTAAATATATTTTTTTTAATATAAATTCTGTAAGTACTAGTAAGTATTTGTAATTTTATTCTGTTCCCATCACCGTCCTCTCTATTTATCTGTCCATCTATATTTATTTCTATTTATTTAAGAAAGAGTTTCAATATGAATTTTATTGTGCGCAGGATTTAACTCTTAACATTGTTTTTATTTCATTTAAAACATTACAAATAGAGGAAAAATAGTAACTTTACTTATAATATTAAAATATTCAATTATTTTAACTGAGTCAACATATTGCATAATCATAATTTTAGTGAAAATTTACTTAAAAGCTAACTTATAATATATTTTTCAATTAGTTTCTCATCAAAATATCTCTCATTTTTTGGGGACAAGAAAAAATTTAAATTAATATAAAAATTTGATAATACCATATGTAAACTTCTATACTAAATCTCTAAAATGCTAAAATGCTCTAGGAGAAAATTCATAAGACCTTAAACTTTAGTCTGGAGCTCTATAGGTAATTTTAATAAAATTAGGTACGAAACAATTGCTTATAAATTTCTTAAAACTAGATAAAGATGTAAAGGTTTAAGTTACTGTCACAGTTTAAACTCCAAGTTAGTTTTTCAATTATATAACAAAGTAAAAAAAAAATAATTTAAATTGTCATTATGTTAACATTAATCAATAATTAAATACAATTAATTTCATCAATAATTAATTAAAAAAATATTTTTTTATCTTTCATTAAGAAAAATTAAAACAAATGAAAATCACATAACTATAATATCAAAAAATGAAAATCACATAACTATAATATCAAAAAATGAAAATCACATAACTATAATATCAAAAAGTGTACACTAAACAACATCTAATTGTGCTTCAAACATCTAATTTTAGTGGTTTTTATATTCACTTAACATCTAACTAGAGGTAATTAAAATTCATAAGCGTATTGAAAAATTCAGTGGTTAGAAAACCAGTAGCAAAGAATTTGCTACTAATAAAAATATATAATCCAAAAATATCGGGTATTCTTCAAACTTTAATTTATACTTCAGACATGATTTTATGTTTTAAATTTAAAACATCTAGGGCCGGACCTGCAATAAACATAATTGAAACCGTTAGTATATCTTAATTCTTACTAATATTATAAATACGAAAGTTTAGATGGATGGATGGATGTTTGTTAGAGTTTGTAGCCTAAACGGCTGAACAGATTTTGATGAAATTCGACACAGACGTAGAGGATAGCCTGGAAGAACACATAGGCCACACTTTTGGTTTTTTAAATCCACGCGGAGGGAGTCGCGGGCGAAAGCTAGTTTATAATCATTTAATTAAAAAATATAATTTTCTTTTAATAGATGGCAAGATATCAATTTTAAAATAACATAACAAAACAGTTTCTTTTATGACTAGGTTTGTAATGTTTTTAAACACATTTTTGCTGTATCTAACTTAAGATATCACAAACTTTTTTTAAAGTCAATGATAAATGACATGTTAGAGGCAGTAAAAATAATTCTCACCCTGGATATCTACCATTAGAACTGGCTCTGACTCGGCGATCCATCAAAAGACTCCTCATTGATTAGCCGTAACTTCACCGACTCCCTTCTCAGATTGTAACTAGTCGATATATGGCAATGCTTCACGTCCACTGTAAGTAGATCCTCGTTCAGTTCCACTCCACTCTTTTCAACATCTGCTGCTGCACTGGGTTTCCTCTTGTGTCTGAATGATGCAGCTCTAGTGGAACTGGACAGATAAGTATCAGTTGTCGTATTGCCATTGAACGTTTTCTCTGAAGGACCGACTCCAAGCTGTTCCATCTGTATGTTCCCTCTGAACTGCGCCGATGTATCTATGCATGGTATCAACTGCTTGAACTCCTTACGGAAGTTCTCGTTCATCCAAGCGTAGATGAACGGATTATAACACGTCGAAGACATTGCGATCACGTGACCGATGAAGAAGATCAAAAAATAATACTTGAGATGGATAGCGTAGATATAATAATCGTTGCAAAGATTAATAACATTCAGAGGGAGCCAAGACAGACCGAAGATTGTCACCATAGCTATCAACATCTGGTTAGTTCTACGTTTTCTGTTCTTGTCGAATTCCTCTTTACGTGAATTCTTACTGACTGCCTTTGCCTTAGCTCTATCGTTCAACTTGAAGCTGACACAGGTATAACAAAAGGCTATCACTATAAAGGGTAATACAAATTGTAACACTGAAGTCACAGATCCGAATACTCGTCGCAATTTCTCCGTTGGCCAAGTCTCCTCGCAAAATCTTCCAATATCCAAATCATAGTAGGTCATGTATATCGCGTAAGGCATGGTCACAGTGATAGCAAATGTCCATATCATGATAATAACAGTGATACAAGTTTCAACTTTCATTCTAGGTCTAAACGGATAAATAATTACAAAAAATCTGTCAATAGCAATAGACATCAAAGTCAAAGTGGATATGTATACGCTGCAACCCTGTGCGAAAGGCATTATGTGGCATAAAAGTGAACCCCAATTCCACGAGCCGCGGAACGAGTATAGGGGCGTAAAAGGAACTGCAAATAGACACAGTAAAATGTCTGAAAGAGCTAGATTAGTGATGAATAAGTTTGTCACAGTCTGCATAGCTTTGTTTCTAATGACAACAAAACAGACTAGAAGGTTTCCTAAGAGACCGAGTACAAAAATGATTGTGTAAATAACACAGAATACTCCTTGTACGAATTTGTTGTCTATAATATTATCTAAGCCATTTGTTTCGAGGGTAGAGGTGATATTTCTTGATGTGATATTGAGTTGGGTGTTGTTCGCAGTAAAACTTAAAATTTTGTCGTTCATCGTTCCCGATCGAGGCGCCGTTCCTAATAGCTAACAATAACTTCTAAGTCTGTCAGTTTTACGAGCTTAGACGGTGGCTCAAATTTAATGTTGGACCTGTAACAAATATAAATTAAGTTTTAACGACTTTATTTCGTAAATTTGCTGTATTATTTGCCAATAAAATGGCATCGTTAACACATTTTTTCTACTTATTTACACCATACAACACAAATTCATAGATAGTAATTTTTATACTTAATAGGAACTGAAATTTTTTACGGATATTAAAATTTAATAAAATATTCTATTTAACTAATCATCGACGAAAATTTCTTAAGGAGTTATTTATTTCTTTAATATTTAAATATCCATGAAGAAGAATCTGTGTCTTTTTTTGATAAGTAGTAATAAAATTATTAAAATGGAAAACATTTCATTTGACAATACCTTATTTTGGTAATTTAACAACAATAAATCCACATAAAACAAACGTCAATTAAACACTTTTAAAGATACACTATTCCTTGTTTTAAAAATAACATTCTATATGTAAAGTCAATACATAAATGAAATATTACGAAATCTATATCGAACACATTTTCTTAACATAACCTGATTCCCAAAGTTTTGATACAAAGCAGTACAAATATGACGAATAGTTTTGAAATAAATCTATAATATAAGAAAAAGAATCTATATAAAGAATTATAAATAATTCTTACTATCTAGTATTAATGAAAATATAACAAGAAATCCGTAACAAGAAACGTAAATGAACCAAAATATTGAGGTTATAAGTAACGCTAATCAAAAACGTTTAAATACTTACCTACATAATTCAGCATTAAATTAATACGCACAGTCAATAATAGTAATATTAACTAATCAATTACATGGTTTTAATCTATAATCGATGCGATTTTTTATTTATTTTCACTAGGAACACAAACCGCGTCATGACATGCGCGGTTCCGACAGCGGGCATGCGCTGTACTACCCGGACTCACTCACTTTCGTTGAATATTCCGTACCAATTTCCGTAATATCGTTTCAGGGTTTGACTATCGGCTTTGTGGCCGCCATATTTGGTATTCTCTTGTTTTTTAGTAACAAAATAAAATCGATTGCGTTTGTTACCATTGTGTGGAGAAATTTTAATATTCAAATGTTATGAAAAGATTTGTATAAAAAAATATTCTTCATCGTTATCGACCTATGTCCCTTAGTGTAGAGGTAGGTAGGTAGGTAGGTAGTAGGTAGTAAGTAGTAGTAAAAAAAAATAAGGCGACTTAGAAATCTCTCCTATGGCTCTAGGAACTAAACCCGCTATAGCTATGTGTACTATATCTACCTTGATATTTAAAATCATTTCGTAACGCACATAATATTGATTAAAACCATTTATTGTATTATAGTTAATCTTCAAAAAAGTATTTTATAAGTTGATCAAGCCAGGGTTAAACCTAATTTAAAACTCGTATTAATTACCAGTAAGAGTATAAGAAAAATTGTTCTCCACAAATTGTATTTTAAAAATATTGACAACCCTAACAGAACGAACGGAAGTGGCAACGACACGCCTATAAAACTATGTTCCGATGGAACATTGCTTTGCTCTATAAGTAAAATGCACACACACGTGCGATAGATCTCGAACAAAATGTTTTTTTTTTTTAAATAGATTGATTTTACTGATTCTGTACAATCTTAGGAACTATAGAACATTTAAGACATGTTTTAAAATCATTAGGTGTATTGTTCTTTCGTGTTATATCTCATGTATTTTGTTGTTAACCTATTTTAACATTACTCAAAGCGGATGCATAATTAAGACCCTTCGCCCTAATATCTTAATGGACCATTCCCACTAAATAGTCGGCCCGGGGCTCGTTTAAAGTTCTCTCTACTAAAATTATTCTCATTCAATACATACACGCTTAGACACTTAAATGATTTACATTTATATAGCAAGTTATTAAAGAAATCTATACTAATATTATAAGGAGTATGTATTGAAATAACTCAAAAACTACTGAGTCAATCTATACTATCTATCATAATAAAGCGTATACACACACTTCTTTGTTGCCTAAGATGTCTACAATGACAGCATATTTTTTAATAATTCTTTTTTCTAATCTTAATCTTTCTTTTTTTTTAAAAGCCCTACACTTACGTCACGCTTTAGGCTATACATCTTCACGCCATTAAACTAAGGGGGTAAATATTTTGGATAAAAACCCTAATGTGGAAAAGAGACTATAAGTTGCTGCCAACATCAAGGAAGCAAAATTGCCATACTTTGTCATCATGTCATGTCATTTTGACATTTGCAATTGAATTTGACAAATATAATCAATAAAACAATTTTCATAATTTCATGCGAATGAAGTCACATGGGAACAGCTAGTTTTAAATATCTTTCACCGTCAGAAAGGTAATTTATCTGTGAGTAACATAGGTTATATTTTTTAATTTCACGCGGGCAAAGTCGTGAGCAACAGTTAGAAATATTTTTTTGTGACAATCACTTTTAAATAACAACAAAAAAATTTTTCATTGAATAAAGTATTTAAAGCATTAGTGAAGAAGTCTTAAAGACTGAAGCATTAGGAACAGTTCAGTACATACTGGTAGATAACGGAACGCTCAAAAAACAATTTGCGTCTATAAAAATGTCTCGTCGTTCGCATTTAAAAGTAAATGAGATGAAATCCGCATGATATCACGCTTAGTTTCAAGGATATCTCGGTATTGGTTATTATACTAATCATACTTTCATAATATTCATACTAATATTACAAATGTGAGAGTTTAGATGGATGAATGGTTGTTAGAGTTTGTAGCCTAAACTGCTGAACGGATTTCGATGAAATTTGGTATAGATGTAGAGGATAGTCTGGAAGAACACATACGCTACTCACTTTCGTTTATTTTAATTCCACGCGAACGGAATCGCGGGCGAAAGCTAGTCTAACAATGACTGGGAATTCTCTGTTTATCTTTGTACGATTTTGAACTAATATTTATAAACGATTTTTTTGTGTATATTTATTGAGAAATAAACACTTAAGAAATTGAATTACATTTTATTTTAATTCTACATTTTATTCTTATAAAAATTTGAAACAAGAATATTAGACGTGCTTTGTAAAACAAATGCCTTCTGTTAGAGAATAGGTTTGTTGTGTATAACGTTACCCTTAATGTACATGTTATGACAGTTGGTTTAGTTTTCATACTTTCCCAGCGCATGTTTGTAATAATTTTACATAGTTAGTCCATACACTAAAATATTAACAGTTTGTTAACATAGTTACATTCAAAACAAAACTACATATGAACAACATCATATATTGTTTGTTATATTTCTTTCCGATTGTTTTCATTTCATCAACAGGAGTTTCCGTTGTGCGATAGTTTAAAGGTGTGAGCCCGCTTAAAATGTCTAAACAAGAGTCTAATGTTTTATAATTATGATACTAGCTTTCGCGCACGGCTCCGTCCGCGTGGAATTAAAAAAAATAAACGTGAGTAGTCTATGTGTTCTTCCAGACTATCATCTACATCTGTACCAAATTTCATCGAAATCCGTTCAGCCGTTTCGGCTACAAACTCTAACAAACATCCATCCATCCATCTTAACTTTCGCATTTATAACATTAGTATGATTTGTATGATTATTAACTGTATATTTCTTTAATGATAAGTCAACACATCGAAATACATTTGTAGTTGCGTTATAATTTATTAAGTACTAGCTGTTCTCATGCGACTTCATCCGCATAAAAAAGTGAAAAGTTTATTATATTGTTTACATGTGTCAATTGCAAATGTCAAAATACCAATGACCTTACTATGGCAATCTTGCTTCTTGATGTTGGCAGCTGGTATCGTATGGTCTCTTTCCCACATTAGGGTTTTTATCAAAATATTTACCCCTTAGTTTAATGGCGTGAAAATATATAAGTGTAGGGCTTTTTATTAAAGAAATAATTATTCAAAAATATGCTGTAATTGCTGAGATCTTAGGCAACAAACAAGTGTGTGCAACGCTTTATTATAATAGTGTAGATTTCATGAAATTTATGTTCCTATTATTATGTATGACGTTCCTTTGAAAGATAAGATAGAGTATATAATTTCCCGAGGGAAATAATGACTTGATAGTTACCATTGTATTATAAATAGAGGTGAATTAACTGTCAACCGGTTCAAAAGATCGCTTGTGATGTTGAACCGCTGAACTGCGGCTCAACAAGCACTAAAGAATTATAATCGGTCCACTAGCGACGGAGTTATGCCGTAACACACATAAAAAAACATACAGACGAATGTGCCTCCTTTTGGGAAGTCGGTCAAAAACTAAATTAGCAGTTCACGACTCAACATTATGTAACTATGTGACTCTAAACTCACGTAAATACTCTATGCAGTTACTAATTGATCTGTTAGCGGGTTCACTGATCTGCTTTACCTATCCGGATTATCAGCTGATCTGCAGATCATATCAGTTAAGTTACCCATATCTAACTATAAGAGAAGTGTTATGATTTAAGATAATAAAACAAAATGTAAAAATCATTGAATTATTGAGGAGTTTTTTTTGTTTATTGGTTATATTTTCCATTTTTGTATAAAATATACCAATCTATTTTTAATAGTAATGTAGATATTAATCTTTATAATTCGTCACTACAAAAAGTATTGTAGTGTTTTTGCAAAAAACATTCTTAGTATGAGAAAGAAAAAACTAGTCTCTTATCTTTGCTAAAATAACAATATGTTATATTTTATTGTGATATAAGTGAAAGTTATGGTCGTTAACTTGTGTAAGGGTAAGCCTTCACGCTATAAATAAATGAATAAATACATTGATATTACCAACATAAGCACAAACCCTACTATTTAGGAGAAAACTGAACTTTTATTTCGAAAATCTCGACTTTTTTCCTATTTTTATTGGGATTTTTGTCTTTAGGAACATGTTAATCCTATATAGAAAATTTTTAAAATAATCCAAAGTTTTATCAACTCCTTTAAAAAACTTTACAAATATAAACACAATGTCTAATAGTTTGGAAACGCTTACAAAACAAACAATTTTTTTTTTTACTTATAACGATAATTTCGTTTTTTTTTAATTTACACCGGAAAAAGTAATAAAGAAAAAAATGTTCTTAATTCAAAAAATCTTTCTTGAAATTATTACGCAGATGAAAATCTACGGAACAGAATTAAGCTCACAATAATGTAACGGAATATTAAATTTGATATTCAGAAGCCTATTTGTAATTACTCTTTCAAATATGAGGAAAGCCTCACGAACAAAATTTAATTTCAATACTAATTTTCCTCTTCAAAGCGAATCCTTCAAGGAGATTACTGGATTTACTGCTGTATCATTTTTGGGACTTTGCTTTTTTATAAACCATTTGTTATGTATAACAAACATAACAATTAACCGAATCGCAGCGTAAAAATGTTTTGATAAAAAAACTTTTTTGCTTAGTAACGTTTTAATTAAACAATCTAATAAGTAAAAGTATTATATATAACTAAAATTGTGTTACTAGTAATATTTGGAACTCGTTATTTTTTTTAATTAAGTAAATAACTAGTTATTTTATTTTATACTATACTTGTTTATTTACCTTTTTACCACCACGTCTTCTATAACCAAGGATTTCTTTCATTTATCAATTTATCTAAAATAGTCTAAGTGTCTTTATTATTTTTTTATATGTTATAAACAAAGCGACCAGTGGTTACACATAAATCCTGTGGGCTTCTGTACCGCTTATAACATTTCTTTATTGTACTTTTTAAATTTATGTTTTTGTCCAATAAATTTAAAAAAAAATCTATTAGAAACTAAAGCAGATTGCTACTATGAAAGTTCATATTTACA